CTTTTCCTGAGCTTTTTCTGAGAGTGAATGTTTGGAACTGTTGCTCCTACTGTTAAGTTTTATTGATAAAACATCATCAAATGTCCAACAAAGAGCATTCTTTAAGAGCACCAAAGATTCATCAAAGTATTCTACAATTAGCACGAGATCAAACATGATCTCCACTGTCTGACACAGCAGTTTATAATGCTTTTCAGATTCTCTTCCATTGTTGTCAAACCCAAAATCAAAGGCAATATAGTTCTTGGCATAGTAGCTGGATGACATGTTGCTTCTATAGTATTTGGAGGTGTTGTTGAGGAAGTCCTCCAGGCTCTCAGATTTTTGGAAGACTTCCTGTTTTTTATTGTATGAGAAGGATGATTCCATTTGAGTGACTGGGTTCCGTAGAATGGTGAAATAAAAGGTGTCATTGGGCATCACGTTTTCCACCTAAAATAAATTACAGCATTAATTGATCTGAAAACTTTTAAGACAAAGAAATACTCACTTTTCTGCAATGGAGTATTTTTCTATCTTGGGTCAGATATTTACCTTACCCTTACACTTACCTCACACTTACCCAGGTGGCAATCTTTAGATGCTATAAAGTTGTTATAAATCACTGATAACAGCTAAAATTAATATTGCAGGGATATTATAGACATCAAAACATTTTTAGTTTAGTGAAGTTGTTTTAGTGTATAGATCATGCCCCTGCAGTCTCCCTGCTCAATTCTGTCATTTAGTAGTTAACCCCTTAAGGATCAAACTTCTGGAATAAAAGGGAATCATGACATGTCACACATGTCATGTGTCCTTAAGGGGTTAAATCACTTTTGTTTCTGTTTTTGGCACTCAGTGACTCATACAGCCTGAATGAGAAAACATTTTTTTGATGATAACTTACTTTAGAAGATAAACATTTTGAACAGAAATTAACCCCTTAGCGCCATTACGGCGTTCTATGCCGTCCCGCATTAAAAGGGCTTTAAAGCCGTTGCGGCGGCATAGACCGCCGTAACGGCTTGCAGCCCCTGGAGGTCCGGTGGACTTACCTCCGCCGCGATCCTCTTCTGGAGGACTGCCTGACAGCCCAGGCAGCCCTCTCCTGGCAAATGAGGCCCCCGGGGGCCATGTGATCGCTCTCAAAGAGCGATCACATGGCCCCCTATAGCTGGCTGTGGATCTGCCAGCAGGGGGACTGTCTAAAATGTCAGACTGTCCCCCAGCTGGTGGGAAAGTAAAAAAAAAAAGATTTAACATGTTTAAAAAAATAATAATTTTTTATATATATATATATATATATATATATATATATAATATATGTATATCTATTATATATATATATATATATATATATATATATATATAATAGATATACATATATATGTGACATCATACAAAGTGTATTTTAATATTAATATAAGTACATATATTAGTATTAAAATACACTTAGAATGACGTTACATATATAATATGTATAAATATTATAAATATAATAGATATATACACATATATTATATATATATATATATACGTATAATTACAATAATAAATAAATAAAATAATAAAATAAATAAATAAAATATTGAAACAAAATGTAATATAAATTATATATTCATATGTAATTTCATTCTAACTGTATTTTTTTATTAATATATATATATATATATATATATATATATTGGTAAGAAAATACACTTAGAATGACATTCTATATATATCTATCTATATATAAAATACAAATAACCGCAAATATATATATATAGATAAATACATATAATTACATAAAATATTACATTAGTATACACGTAGAATTTAAATACCTATAAATGCATATATATTAAAATTCTACATGTATATTTAAGTAATCTTTTAACATAATTATGTGATTTGATTAATTAAAATTTGATTGACATGCCTGACAACACAGGGAGAAAGTGCAGATAATTTATTTAATAGTGTTTGTGGCTACTAAAAAGGACTAAACATACCCCACTTTCAATACCTTGGGTTGTCTACTTTTTCAAATGGTATGCCATTATGAGGGTAATTCTCATTCCTGGGCTACCACACCGTCTCAAAGGTAACATTACTAATCTGGCCAATTTCAATTTGAAAATGGAACGTTTTATATTTGACCCTGTAACTTTCCAAAACACAATAAAACCTGTTAATGGGGGGTACTGTTGTACTCGTGAGACATCGCTGATTACAAATATGTGCATTTTTTTGGAGTAAAACCTAACAGTATTATGACATTAACAGCTAAAATGTC